TTAAATGGTTGGATTGGATGATATTTTCATCATAGTTCAATAAAAATCCTATTTTTAAAATATTTTATTATTTTTATTTATGTATATGAATGTACTGCCAGCCTGGCCTACATAGTGAGTTCCAGGCCAACTGGGGCTACAGGGAAACCCTGTCTCAAAAAGACCACCCCCCCCCCCAAAAGCTGAAACAACTCAGAACACAAGAAGTGTTGTGTGTTTGTGTATTTGTTATATGTATAATATGCATTTGTACATATGAGCTACCAGGAGGATGACTTAGGCCTTTAGTTGAACAGCCTCCTTTCTCCGTCCCCAGTGAACTCCTCTGCCTTGTTTGAGATACAAGGGACACAAGTCATTCCTCTACCCTGAACTCCCCGTTTTTTCTCTGATCCCTTTACAATCTGTCAGAATCATGCTTTCCTTGTGAGGCCCTGGATGGTCCCTGATTCCTTCATGTTCCCGTGGAGGACAGAAGGTACAGACTCACCATTAGCCACCTTCTCCAAGAGTCAGCAGTGGTAATAATGGCAACACAGTACACCCAGCACCCTGCCTCACGATAGGCCCCAGGCTAGCACTTCACACCTACTGTGGTGTTTATCAGCATGCTATGAGGGAGGTGTTCCATAGCACAGATATTGGTCAAGGCTGTCATTCATGTGTCAGAGCAGGGCTGTCTGACCAGAGCTTGCCCTGACACTGTCCCTTGGGCCTGGGCACTCTCCCAGCCCCACCTCTGAGTCTGTCCACAGAGCACACAGTAAACTTCTATCTCCCAAGGTGTTTGTGCATTGTAGATAAGCTGTGTAGACCAAGGCCAAAGTGCTGGATCAGACAGCTGCTTTTCACACAGTGCGCATGGGAAATATTGGGGTGGGGAGAAGAGGTGCCAGACAAATACTTCTAAAGACAGCTGTGAGTCTCCTGATCAGTGCTGCCCAGGCCTCCTCAGGCCCTGCAGGACAAAGGGACCTCCCAGGCTTCCTGCTGCTCAGACTGTCCAGGCTCCTCTCTCCCTGCCCTTTGGCTCAGAACCCCTGCTGGTAACACCCACTTAGCCACAGAGGCCTAAGAAAGTCAAAGCCCTGAGGGACTGGAGTGGCTACCTCACAGCAAGGGTACACTCAGGATCTAACCCCCAACACATCCAGCTGCAGAGCGGATTCTTCTGAACCCCCTAAGGAAGAACTGGGCCTGAGGTCTAGGGAATGTCTCTTCCTTTCCTGACTACCGACCTCTGTTCCGGCTACACCCCTGCATGTGATACAGTTCCCTCATCTCTACCTGGCTGAAGCCCACTCCTCTGGCTTGGTGAGACCTTTTCCCAACAAGGCTGCCTTGGGCTTTCTCTTCCAAGACTCTTAGCCCTCCTGGTAACTTGCTCCCTAAGCTCAACTTACACAGATACTGAGCCTTGAATTCTGAGAACTGCTTATGAGCACAGTCCAGGCCACCCACTTCTAGGTGCTCATGAAGAGTGACCAACTAGTCAAATAAACGACTTCCATGGTGCATGTGCCTGCAGGGAATCCAGCAGACAAACCTCAGACATGACTGTGTTTGACATGCAGGATGCAGGGGCTCTGCTTGGACACTACCCAGTGCTTATGCGTTCTCAGGTAACTGTGTGTGCTACTATACTGAGGCTGGCCTGGCCTTATCCTCTCCATGAGGAGTTCTACCCTGCTTGGGTTTCTCAAAGACCTCCAGGAATCCTGACCTCTGGGCATGGGTTGAGTGTACCAGCAAGAAGGCAGGGATTAGTGAAAGATACGGAAGGGGCTGGTAGCCTAGTGCCAGACGTGATGACCTCTGTAGTCCACTGGCTGCAGGTGGGTTAGGGTGCTGTATTACCTGGCGTCATCCACAAGGATGAATTTTGGGATAGATGGAAACAGACAGGTTGGTATAGTGTTTGGAGTCCTGGCCCCCATCCTACCTGATCTGCCACGCCAGCCAGGGTGCCGTTACTAAGCAGGGAAAAGGTTTCCAACTCCTGCCAAAGATAGGGGAGAGGTAGAAAGAGATCAAGATTCTAGAAAGATGCTCAGCATCCCGCCAGCCAACAGAGAGGCCCTGACACCAGCCGTGGGGTCCTTGGTGCCACCCGAGGCTCCCTACCCCCAGGCCTCCTACCATCCCGTGCCCTGGCTCCCAGGATCAGATTGATTTCTTTTCTTCTTCCAACTCGACCTAAACACGTCCTCATGCACGTCCTCGTGCTTTAGTCCTCCCACAAGCCTTCTGAGGTGGGCATAATTATCTGTCTTCCAGATGCAGAAACTGAGGCAGAAACAGGCACTAACTTGCTAAAGGTCGTGTCAGAAACACTTGAGCCATATGCTTTCCTGCCTGCATCCAAGCACACAGCGGGTACCAGAAAAACATATGTGGATTCGAAGGAGTCCAACACATACTGACATCTGACAGTCACCACAGGGGGGTCATTTGAGAACACAAAGCTGAAGGATGTCAGAGTCCCCTTGGGCCATCTCCAGGGTGGGGAGGGAGCGTGTTTTAACAGCTGGTGTCTAAGGTGAGCTGTGAATTTTGGCTGTTCTTTCCTCTTCCACAGGGCCCTGCTTCTCAGGGCTTTCGGCCAACAGGGGAAAGGTCACCTGCTGTTACTCCCTCTGTCCTCACCCATTCCTGGCTACCTCACTCAGGGTCCCAGAGTGCCTAGCTCAAATCTTCACCCCTCTTCTCTCCCCCTACCCCAGGACCCACAGCCCACCTACCTGGGGCCTCTTATATGCCTTCCGCACCCGCAGTCCAAGCTTCTGAGCCAGCTCCTGACCCAGCTGAGTGACACTTTCATCCTGCAGAAGGTGAGACACGGGTTGGATACCGCAGGTGGGTCGGGCTACCCAGGTGCTCTGTGGACACCTTGTGTAGCCCTGTAGGAAGGGTCACAGTTATAGCATGTCACCAACAAGAAAGTAGGAGCCTAGGTGGTGTAATATGCTGGGAACAGTGGGCCTAGAACCACCAGCTCAACCACGCTTTTGTTTCTCCTTTCATTTCCGGAAAGGTAAAGATATCAATAGGTTTGTTTTTATTTTACTCTATTTTATTTATCTCAAGACACAGTCTTGTTATGTTGCTCAAGCTGACCTTGAATCCCTGCAATTACAGGTGCTCCCCACTGTACCTGGCTGTTTCTAATTTTATTTATTTTCTAGTAGTGCTAGGGATCAAACCCTGTTTTTATTTTTATCCTATTTTTTATTTTTTTGGTCTTTTTGAGACAGGGTCTCCCTAGAGCCCCAGCTGCCTGGAACTCGCTCTGCAGACCAGGCTGGCCTCAAATCCAGAGATCCACCTGCCTCTGGCTCCTGAGTGCTGCAATTAAAGGCATGCGCCACCACGCCTGGCCAAACCCTGTTTTTATTTATTTATTTTTTTAATATTTTATTATTTTTATTTTATGTGCATGAGTGTATTGCCTGCATGTATGTGAGTGCACCTGTGTCGTGCAATGCCGCGGAGGTCAGAAGAGGGCTTTGCATTCCCCTGGAACTGGAATTAAGGATGGTTCGTAGCTGCCATGTGGGTACTGGGAATTGAACCCGGGTCCTCTGCAAGAGCAATCAGTGCTCTTAACCACTGAGCCATCTCTCCAGCCCCTTCCCTTGTTTTTATTTTAATATCATCTTTTTTTCTTTTTTCTTTGCAGTGTTAGGGAAGGAACCCAGAGTGTACATCCTAGGCAAGTCCACAGTGGGCCACACCCCCAAGCCCTTTATTATATATATATATATTATTTTTTGGGGGGGGGTCTTTTTGAGACAGGGTCTCCCTATAGCCCCAGCTGGTCTGGCACTCTGTAGACCAGGCTGGCCTTGAACTCATAGAGATCCACCTTCCTGTTTCCCAAGTGCTGGAATTAAATTTGTACGCCAACACGCCCAGGCAGATTTTCTTTTTACAGGTGTGATGTGTTTCTTGGGGATAAAACTTGGATCTCTGATGATTGTGAGGCAAAAAAGCACGTAATTTACCAACAGAGCCTCTCCCTAGCCCTTTTTTTTTAATTTTTTTTTTTTTTTTTTTTTTTTTTTTTTTTTTTTTTTTTTTTAACAGGGTTTCCTTGTGCCCCCTAGCCTGGAACTCACTTTGTAGACCAGGCTGGCCTTGAACTCACAGAGATCCGCCTGCCTCTGCCTCCTGAGTGCTGGGATTAAAGGCGTGCTCTTAATCGCTGAGCCATCTCTCCAGCCCCCAACTTTTAATTTTTAAAATTCAGCAAGTTACAGTGTCACAGTGGAGGGTAAACTGTCAGTAAGTACAAGTGCTCCTTTATTAGTTCACCCTCAACCTCCAGCTCTTCCCGGGAAGAACTATGATATTGTTCTGTTGTGTTTTCTGAGCTTTCTAGAAGCACCAGCCCTATAAAGACACAGAGCCCTTTGCAGCCATCACACCAGAGACAAAGGAGGAAAGGCACTTGATGGATGTGGATCTGATGTGTAGAAGGAGGAAAAGCCAGGGCCGGGCGTGGTGCATGCCTTTAATCCCAGCATTTGGGAGGAGGAAAAGCTCTGTCCAAGGTCACACTGGGGGTCAGGGTGGTGATACACCTGGACCTCAGGGCTGTTACAGTTAGTCACCAGTGGGCTGTGGGTCTTGATTTGTGCCTGTTTGGGTGGCGCATAATAAATACTTATCAAGTAAATAAATGGCAGTGGAGAGGGGTCTGGGGAGGCTGACAATATACATCAGCCGTGAGTGGGCAAGCTCTCTGTTGGTCATTTCTCATTGTCACTAGTCCCCCCAGGGAAAGCCCTAACACCAGCACCCCAGGACAGAGGCACCTCTTTAAACCTCACACAACCCTGTTGTCAGAGTGTTGAGGTCAAGAACACAGACACAAGAATTGGGTTCCTGGGGGTCAGCCCTCCACTTTGCCATCCCCTGGTGGTTGTGATCTACCCAGTTAAGTTCCTTTCTCTCCATGTCTGTCTCTTCATCTTTAAAACAGGGATAAGAGCACCAATCTCATAGGGCTGTTGCCAGGATGAGGTAACTTATACCCACAATGCAGTTTTAGCAATGCAGACACCCAATCCAGCTCGGAAACTATAGCTAGCATCACATCAGTATCAGCAACTCTGTGTGGCAGAGAAGGAAGCCGAGGCTCACAGGGTGGTATGTCCATAGGAAGGCCAGTACAGGTCAGAAGCCGGAACTCACATGGGGCAGGGCAAGCGAGCACCGGCTGCTGCATTCATAGGCCTCCTTGTGGCGTCCCAGCTCGTTGAGAGAACGTGCCTTGCGGAACAGTGCCCGGATGCTCTCGCCGTCCAGGCCCAGTGCCTTTTCACTGTCCTCCAGCGCCTTGTCATACAGGCCCTATGGGAGAGAAGCAGGCAGCCCAGTCATCAGCACTTCTGACTGTCAGAATAAAAAGGAGCCTCAGTGGTCTACAGAGAAACAGCAGGAAGGCTGAGATCTAGGACCAGGCTGAAGAGTTCCTGCTATGGAGAGGGACACTGCTAGGAGAGCTATGGTTCTACAGCAGTGAGCTTCGTCAGTAACACACCTGCTGTTTGTCTACCCTCAACTGGGAACACCACAGGCTAAGAGACACAGTAAGCATCTCACAGAGGTGCAATCTGGGTCACCCTGAAATTCTAACTCAATTCATCTGAGGCAAGGTGAAGGCTGAATGTTTTTTTATGTTGTTGCTTCTGTTGTGTGTGCTCATGTGTCTGCAGGTGTGCATGCCCACGTGTGCTTATGTGGAGGCCAGAGGTTGACATCAGGGGCTTTACTCTATTGCTGTCGTGTGTGTGTGTGTGTGTGTGTGTGTGTGTGTGTGTGTGTGTGTATTTATTTATTTTTATTAATTTAATTCTAGGTTGAGAATCCACTTTATACTCACCTGGCATAGGGCCTGCTTCCATGTAACCATGTCTATGAAGATTTAGGAATATAATATGATAAATAAAACCTAGGAGCTTAGGGAGAATAATTTTAAAGTGGTGCCTAGTGTCAGGTGTGGTGGCACATACTTGTAATTCTAGTAACTGGTGGAGGCAGAAGGGTCTAGAGTTCAAGAGCTGAGCTACATAGCGAAACCAAAGTAGAGGGACTGGAGAGATTGCTCAGTGGTTAAGAGCACTGGATGCTCTTGCAGGGGACCTAAATTTGATTCCCAGCACCCACATGGCAGCTAACAACTGTCCTAACTCTAGTTCCAGGGGATCCGATGGCTTCTTCTGTCCTCGAGGGCAGTGCATGACATGGGTACACTTACTTACATCCAGGCAATACACTCATACACACAAAATAAAATAAATAAAATATTTTAAAAAAATTAATGTAGATGAGTGTTTTGCCTGCATGTGTATAAGTGCACCATTTGTGTGTAATGTCTGTGGAGGCCAGAAGACAGTGTGTCAGATCCCTTGGAATTGGAATTACAGATGGTTGTAAGCTGCCATGTGGGTGTTAGGAATCAAACCCCAGTCCTCTGCAAGAATAGCATGTGCTCTTACCTGATGAGCCATCTCTCCAGCCCTCTCTACTTTATGAAGTAGGATCTCTTTGTGGATTTAGTTTCACTGATTGGTTAGACTAGTTGGACAGTGAGCTCCAGCAGGCGATGTTTTGTATTTGTTTTGAGACAGACTGTCACTATGTAGCCATGGCTGGCTTCAAACTCAGAGATCCATCTTCCTGTTTCCCAAGTGTTGGAATTAAATGTGTACACCAACATGCCTAGGCAGATTTTCTTTTTACAGGTATGACATGTTTCTTGGGGATAAAACTTGGATCTCTCATGCTTGTGAGGCAATAAAGCATGTAATTTACCAACAGAGCCATCTCCCTAGCCCTTTTTTTTTTTAACTAAAGTTTTTTTTTTTTAATATATTTTATTTATTATTTTTATTTTATGTATACGAGAGTATTGCCTGCATGTATGTCAGTGCACTGTGCTGAGCAATGCCTCGGAGGTCAGAAGAGGGCTTCGGATTCCCCTGGAACTAGAGTTAAGGACGGTTAGTAGCCACCATGTGAGTGCTGGGAATCGAACCAAGGTCCTCTTCAAGAGCACTCAGTGCTCTTAACCGCTGAGCCATCTCTCCAGCCCAGCACCAGCCCCCCCCCCTTTTTTTTTTTTTGGTCTTTTTGAGACGGGGTCTTCCTGTAGCTCCAGTTGTCCTGGAACTCACTGTGTAGACCAGGCTGGCCTTGAACTCACAGAGATCTGCCTGCCTCTGCCTCCCAAGTGCTGGGATTAAAGGTGTTTGCCATCATGCCTGGCTTTTTTTTTTTTTTTAAGAATTGGTTTGGGGGTGCTGGAGAGATGGCTCAGTGGTTAGGAGCACTGACTGCTTTTGCAGAAGACCCAGGTTCAATTCCCAACACCCACATGGCAGCTAACAACCATTCATAACTCTGGTTCCAAGGGAATTTGATGCTCTCTTCTGATCCCTGTGCGCATTGCATGACACGGGTGTACTTACACACACACAGGCAAAACATTCATACACACAAAATAAACTTTGTACTATCTAATAGCCATCCAGCATGATCCGCAAAGACATCATCAATGTCTCTGTGCCTGTATCCTCTTGTTAAAAGAGATGACTTGGGAGGAAGGGGAAGAAAGTGAGCGCCTCAGAGGTGAGGACAGAAAGGGCACCAAACTGTCTGCAGGGCTGTTCTGCAACCATAGTCTCCTGCCTCTCTGTAAGCAGGTTCAAGATTCTGAAACAAGTATTCTGGCAAATCAATAAATGTACCTTCCTCTCACCCCATATTTCTTAAAAATTTAAGATCAAAAAAAAAGAAAAAAAGAAATGTTTTGGGGCTGGGCGTGGTGGGACACACCTTTAATCCTAGCACTTGGGAAGCAGAGGCAGGCAAATCTTTATGAGTTTGAGACCAGCCTGGTCTATATAGTGAGTTTCAGGTCAGCTGGGACTATGGGGAGACCCTGTCTCAAAAAGACAAAAAAAAAATTGTTTTGGGGCTGGAGAGCCGGAGAGATGTCTCAGCAGTTAAGAGCACTGGCTGTTCTTGCAGAGGATCCAGGTTCAATTTCCAGCACCCACAAGATGGCTAACAACCAATCATAACTCCAGTTGCAGGGGAATCCAACACCTTTTTCTGAACTCAGGCATTGCACAACACAGGTACACTTACATAAATGTAGGAATTTCATGACACAGATGTACCTACATACATGCAGGCAACACACTCATACACATAAAATACAAATAAAAGAAGTGGTTTTACGGGGCTGGAGGTGCTGGAGAGATGGCTCAGCGGTTAAGAGCACTGACTGTTCTTGCAGAGGACCCAGGTTCGATTCCCAGCACCTACATGGCAGCTATGAACCATCCTTAACTCCAGCTCCAGGGGAATCTGAAGCCCTCTTCTGACCTCCATGGCATTGCATGACACTGGTGCGCTCACATACATGCAGGCAATATACTCATACACAAAATAAAAATAGTAAATAAAATATTTAAAAAAAAAAAGAAGTTGTTTTACTAGGTTGCCCTAGGCTGGTCTGAAACTCCAAGACTCAAGTGATTCTCCTGTCTCAGCCTCTGAATCTAGGACTATAAATGCACACGACCACACCCATTTGTTCTTTTTTTATTTTTAAATTTTTAGGGGGTCTTTTTGAGACAGGGTCTCCCTGTAGCCCCGGCTGGCCCAGAGCTCACTATGTAGACCAGGCTGGCCTTGAACTCACAGAGATTCACTTGCCTCTGCCTCCTGAGTGCTGGGACTAAAGGCATATGCCACCATGTCTGGCCTGTTCTTTTTTTTTTTTTTAATTTATTTATTATTTTTATTTTATGTGTATAAGTATAATGCCTGTATGTGTATAAATATACTCATATCATGCAATGCCCACAGGTCAGAAGAGAGTATCATATCCCCTGGAAATGGAGTTATAAATAGTTGTTAGCCACCGTGTGAGTGCTGGGAATCGACCCCAGGTCCTCTGCAAGAGCAGCCAGTGCTCTTAACTGCTGAGCCATCCCTCCAGCCCCTCATCTGTTCTTTTAAAAGCTTCCCAAGGATGGCAGGATGGCTCAGCAAGTAAAGGTGCTTGCTGACAAACCTGAGAACCTGAATTAAATCCCTGGGACCCACATGGTGTTAGGAGAGAACTGATTCCAGCAAGTTGTCCTCTAACCTCTATGTGAATGCTGTGGCACTTGTATGTGTTTTTGTTTTTTGTTCTTGGTCTTTTTTGAGACAGGGTCTCCCTGTAGCCCCAGCTCTCCTGGAACTCACTGTGTAGACCAGGCTGGCCTTGAACTCACTGAGATCCGCCTGTCTCTGCCTCCCAAGTGCTGGTATTAAAGGTGTGCGCCACCACGCCCGGCCAGCGCTTGTATGTGTACACACATACAGACACACACATACACAAATATACACACATAAATTTAATTTAAGGGGCTGGAGAGATGGCTCAGCAGTTAAGAACACCGACTGTTCTTGCAGAAGACCCAGCACCCACATGGCAGCTAACAACTGTCCGTAACTCTAGTTCTAGGGGATCCAACAGCCTCTTCTGTCTTCCATGGGCATTGCACGACATGGGTGCACTTACCTACATGCAGGCATAACACTCATACACATGAGATAAAAATAATAAATAAGGGGCTGGAGAGAGGGCTCAGCAGTTAAGAGCACTGACTGCTCTTGCAGAGGACCCGGGTTTGATTCCCAGCACCCACATGACGGCTATGAACCACCCTTAACTCCAGTCCCAGGTTAATCCGAAGCCCTCTTCTGCCCTCTGAGTCATTGCTCAACACAGGTGCACTTCCATACATGCAGGCAATACACTCATATGCATAAAATAAAAATAATAAATATTAAAAATAATAATAATAATAAATATTTTTTAAAAAAGAGTACTAGTTGCTCTTGCAGGACCCACATGGGTAACAACCATCTGTAACTACAGTTCCAGGAGGTCAGAGGCCTTCTGACCTCTGTGGGCATTGCACGACTTGGGTATGCCTACCTCAGTACCCTCATAATAAAATAAAATAAATAAAATATTTTAAAAACATAAACATAATCTTAAAAATTTGTTTATGTTCTGCCGTGTGTCTGGGATTGAGGCAGTTATGTTCAGATAGGAAGAGGTGGATGCGGCCAGCCTAGCTCGGACAAACTCAAGAGGTATCCAGGGAGATGTGGCCAGGCAGGGGGAGGAGGCAGGCTCACCATGGTGAAGTAGCAGGCAGCTCTGTTGACATGAAGCTTACACAGCAGTTCCCGAGGCAAGGCCACCTGGTCAGAGGCGGCGTAGTCGGCCACATTCAGCCCTTCCATGTACTGCACCAGAGCCTGCTTATAGTCCTTTTCCCGAAACAGGTCATTGCCCTCAGCAAACAGGTTCTGCACAAGCTTGAGTAGGAAGGCCTATGCAAGGCAGATACACAGGGGACTCAACAAGTTGCCTCCATGCAGCCTAGCTCAACTCCCACAGCCTGAACACAACAGCCCTCACCCAGTCCCCACAGCCCTCTAGCTGGACACAACAGCCCTCACCGCCATCCACCCACCAAGGGGACACGCACCTCATATTCCTCTTGCTTTAGGGGTAGTGTTGACCTAGTAGGAAAAGAGAGACACAGGTCTGGTTGAGCCAACAGGTCCCAGCCTTATGAAGCCCCAGGACTATACTACAGGGTCTGAGGTTGTACCACAAGTAGGTTCTTCCCACTCAGATCACAGTCACGTGTGGACCAGGGTGAGGGGACAGCATGAGGGCCACTTAGTTCTAATAGGACTTGTATTTTCCCTGGTTTTCCCAGAGGTAGATGCTGAGCAAGATTGGCCAGCAGCAGCCTTAGCTCCAACAGCTGTCCTCTGCCTATGTGCCCCCCTCTCCTAAGGAGAGCAGGACTTTAGGTCTCTAAGCTATAAGGGTAGGGGAGTCACAGCTGGGTCTAGGAGGCCCCCCAGGCCTGGAACAGTACAGAAGGAGAAAAATCAGACTCTAACGAAGGCAGAATCAATGGTGACTTATATGGGGACAGGCGAGCTAGGAAATTAACACCTACTCTGGGACTCTAGAATCCTCATCCACCATGTCCTCATCAAACCAAATCTGTACCTCAGGCCCATAGGGGCAAGTCATGGGACACTGAGGAACTCAGGTGCCCTCAAACTGGGAGGTTCTGCTGTTCTCTTGACCCTCCCAGAACACACACTCAGCCAATGCCAGGCAAGCTGAGGGCCATCGACCCATCAGGCCAGAAGCTAACAAGTTAAGCCGGGTCTGTGGCCGCTATGCTTCCTCTTTTGTGGTTAAACCACAGCAATGGAAAAGGAGAACTTGCAACTCCTGTGAGGTTAGAATACGAGCAGGGGCTTGTCTACTGGTGGGAAAACAGACAGTGGAGGGGTGACCTGTCCAAGGTCACATAGTAGGACAGAATCAAAGACAGGACCAGAGGGTGGGGCTAGGCTTCTCTTTTGCCTGAAGCTGCTACCTGGGCAAGAAAGAGCAGGCCAGACTAGTGAGAAGTGAGCAGAGACAAGGGAAGGGAGGGGTGTGTGTGTGTGTGTGTGTGTGTGTGTGTGTGTGTGTGTAGTAGAAGGAGGGGTGTGTATGTGCACATATGTGTAGTACAGGCAGGGGTGTGTGTGTGCACATGCACATATGTGTAGTGTAGGCAGGGGTGTGTGTGTGTGCACATGCACATATGTGTAATACTGACAGAGGAACCAGGGCTTGACATGCCATCCTTACACACCTCAGCATCAGAGGCCAGGCCTGTCTTTGCCCATGCTGCTGCGGGCACCTGCTCCCATGCTGCCTGGCCCAGTCCCCCATCCCTCTCCTTCAGCTGATCTCCTGCCTCCAGCTCTCCCCGTCAACGCTGGCTTCATTTTCAGCAGGTCACATTCCCCTCCTAAAAGACACCTCAGGAGTGTGGCTCAGTTGGCAGAGCACTTGCCTACATGCACACAGCCCTGGGATGATTCTCCAACCTGCACACACCGGGCATTGTGGTGCATGCCTGTAATCCCAGCACTGGGGAGGTGGAGGTAGGAGGATTAAAAGTTCCTTTGAAAAGATGAAAGAAGATGTCAGAACAAGTATTTGCCCCACACACCACCAGGCCCCTCAACTCTCATAAGAACTCTGAATGAGAAGGGGGTGCCGTCTCACTCACAGGAAAGGACAGTACCCCAGAAGCAAAGAACTAGCTGTGGACCAGGCCACACAGAAGTCAGTGACTGAATTCAAAGGCTGGATAAAACGGGAGTCATAAAGGTCCACCTCGTTTAACAGACTGGCCTCTGAATAAACCTGAGCATTTTCCAAGCATCAAACGAGCACTACAAAAATCAAGATTTGCCCCAGTGGGGAGTAAAGACTGAAAAGTAGCCATTGCTCTGACATCTGTGAGGAGGGCTGAGGACCCTGGCTTGCAGGGCTGTAGGGAAACACAAGCGCCAGGGTTCAACTCAGGTGCTCTCAAAACTCCCAAATCAAGGGGCTGAAGAGATAGCTCAGCAGTTAAAGAGCAGCAGCGGTTCTTCCAGAGGATCTTGGGGTTCAGTTCCCAGCTCCCACCTTTGGTGGTTCATAAAGACTTGTAACTCCAATTTCAGGGGGCCCAACACCCTCTTATGAACTCCTCAAGTACCTACACACATACAGGACACATACACATGTAGACACAGATATATATATATATATATATATATACGATAAAAATAGATAAATTGGCATGCATTGAATGCCCTGGTATTGCAAGTTCAGGCTGGAGGGAATGTGTATTATATAATACACTTATGAGCACCATGATAAATATGCCTCTGAGAATCTATTTAAGAGAGAAAAAGAAACCGGCAGCCAGCTCTGGTGGTACAGGCTCATGATCCAGCTGCTTGAGAGCTGAGGCAGGAGGATCACAGGGGCAAGGCCAGTGTCAGCTACACAGGGAGTTTGAGGCCTGTCTGGGTCATATGAAACAGACGAGAGAGAGAGAGACAGAGACAGAGAGAGAGAGAGACAGAGAGCGAGAGAGACAGAGACAGACAGAGAGACAGAGACAGAGAGAGAGAGGTGGAAGGAGGGAGGGAGAAGGGAGAGAGAGAGGGAGGGAAGGAAAGGGGCTAAGTAAAGATATTTTTATATCTTGCATATAAGGAAAATTATGAAAGAAAACAAACAAGCACAGGCTGGGAGTGCTGGGGGCCATCTAATGTAAAGAAACATGGGTTTTCAAATCAGACCTGGTTTGGAATCCTGTCACTCAATAGCTGTATGACCCTAACTAAACTTAGCCTCTCTAAGCCTCAGCTCTCTTATCAGTAAAATGGAATAAAGCCCATCTATTTACTGGGTTATTGTGAAGATTAAAAAGCTAACGGGTGGGCCCAGTACAGAGTCTGAGAGAGAGTGGCACTCCATAAGGGGGTTATTGATGTATTAGAAGGTGCTTGCAGACATGCAAGAGAATTCAAGGCACTGTATGTGCAAACGCAGAGGGTGGGTAACACAATACACCCGATAAGATCCAAGGGCAACCAGGGTCGTAGAGTACTTGCATAAGTACATGTGGAGTTCATGGCCTCTGCCCCTCATCTCACCCCTCCACATGCCACTGCACATAGAGCAGGGACTCAGGAGGAAAAGGAAAGCCCACCCTGCCCACTGCCCACTTACTGAATGAACTGCAGCCCCTTCTCGATGTCCGCCTTCCGTTTCTGCCTCTCCATCAGTGTCTGCAGAAAGAGTACAGAGTATGGTCCATCAATTAGACAGCAGGGACCAGAAACTACCCTGTGGCCATGAGAGGGGTGCGTGCATTCCCACTCATCCCACAACAGAGGCGGGAGGGTGTCTGTGGGGCGATGGACCATCTCAGAGACTACATGGACCTCATGCCATACTGTCACGTTGCAGACCCACAGCCCACTGGACTTGTTTATGTGATGTCCTTGATGGGCAAGGGCTGCAGGGGAGCCACCTGCCCCTTGCTGTACAAAGGCCTGGGCAACAGTACTGCCTAGGAAAATCTCAAGTTCAGGGGAAGAACCTTGTTTTACCATCAAACTCAGTAGTCTGTGTTACTACCAAGGAGAAGGGTCATGGAAAGGGCAAAACAATGGCTGGTGATCATATAAACAAGGAAGCGCCAGCCACTTGTCTTGAGCTTGGCTCTGTTCAGGCTCTTATTCACTCAATAGCGAGAGGCAGGTGTCCATTCACCCCCACATACAAGGGGGAAGCAGAAGCTCAGGAGCTCCAGTCATGAGCTGGCACAGGGCAGGGAGGACTACGCTGCATTTGAACCCACAATGTGCTTTCTTTAATGCCCACCAGCAGTCCCTTCTGGGCACGACTAATGAACCTTGGTGAAGGCTGCCTAGGAAAAGTGCCAGCTGGCATTGAGTACCTCTTGCCTGTGCCTGGCCAGAGCATAGAGGTTAGCCCAGGAAGGCCCTGAGACCTGGGAGTCCTGCTCCCTTCCTCTCTCCATAGCACACTTTTGGCTACCCATCTTCACCAGGCAATGAGGCTTATGCTGGGCAGGTCTGGGGATGTCCAAATGACAGGGACACAGTTGCCACCCCAGGGAGTCCTCCATCCAAAGAGAAGCCAGTGTGTATATTTATGGAGTACTGACATGTGTCCACTATGTCTCTGTTTGGCCTCAAGGGGACACTGAAAAAAGCTTTAACTTGGGTGTGGGTCCAGCATTTACATTTAATATGTGGCTTTGGGCCTCAGGGTCCCAAGCGGGAAGTGGGGCTGATGGCAGGTCCTGCCACACTGGCTGTCATGAGGGTTTAGGAGGTGACTGGTGAAGAGTGCCTGGTGTAGTCGATAGTCCAACCATCGTAGGAAAACGTGTCACCCAACACTGCTCCTCCCTGTTACAAGACACTGTACATGTGGTTCTTGGGTCAGACAAGTGGCTGCAATACAGTCCCAAGGTGGAGGTCTCGTCTGTCTTCAGAATGAGCCTCTTATTCTTGCACCTTGCTCTAACCCCCAACACACAGGCTGGCAGTCCCTTGCCACCTGCTCTCACACTCCCCTGCACTTATACAACTATGTTCCTTCCTGGCCTTCCTGCAGAAACTTCTCCTGCACCAGTCCCTGCCCAGCCATTGAAGACGATCCACCACCCTTCACTCATCTGGTGTTGGCCAGAAGCCTGGGTAGCTTCAATGGGTCAAAGCCAGTCCTTGTTCTGGAAGTACTAACTGAAGAGGAGGGGTATGGGCATGTCAGTCACCATGCAGCCCATGCAGAGGAAGCTGTGGATGGCAGAGGCCTCTGTGTCTGACCACAGGTACCACATGTCATGGTCATAACCCATGTCCACTGAGCCCCCAGTGGTGGACTCGGGTCACAATCTAGTCTCTGCCTCCCCCTACTTCTAGTGATATTACCTGTCCCAGATAATGGACAAGCTCCCCAGCCTCCTCAAGTACAGTCTGGGAGTCTTTCAAACCTACAGATTTAACTGTCTCTGCCTCTCCTTCTGCTTCCTTCCAGCGTCTGATGACTTCCATCAATCAAGATTCTATAAACTAGGCTAGATCTGCTCAGAGGTTAAGAGCACTGGCTGCTCTTGCAGAGGACATGGGTTTGGTTCCCAGCACCCATGTGGAGGCCAATGACCATCTGTAACACCAATTGGAGAGAATTTCATTCAGTTCTAGAAACAGTTCTTACACTTTCATACTTGGTGCTAGTTGGGGGTGGGGTGGGGCTTGCTCAGGTCCAGGGCTGCCCTCAGAGAACTCTGGGCCATCAGGAGGAGAGCTGTGGGTGCAGGTCCAGAAACTGTGAGGCAACAAAGGGGAGCTCTTCAGGGGAGAGGGGTACTGTAGGAAGTGGTACCTAGGGAGCCCAGGGAAGGAAAATGGCAAGTGCCAACAGGAAATTTGCTAAGAAGGATGTGTAGTAGACTCAGCATGACACCCCAATTCTTATGACACCCTAGAATTTGCATAGCCTTGATGACAGAAGTCTGGGTCTCCCTCTAGTCCAAAGCTGCAAAGTTGGGGAGCCCTGAGTCCAAGACCAAGAGAATGCTGTACAGGCAGGTAACAGCAGAGGGGAATGCAGAGGGGCATCGACCTTGCACCAGGTACTGACCAACTGTCCCTACTGAGGACAAGAGGGATAGATACTACCAAAAGAGCTGCAAGATGTGGCTCTGCATTTGGTTTGGTCTGTCCACGACCCACAAATACAAACAGAACACCATTAAGAATGTGCAAAGTGGCATTTCCTGGATAGAAGGGCAGATGGACGGAAGAAAGCCTCCAGAGAGACCTAGACAGTAGCACACTGTGAGCCAGGCAAGTGAGGGAAACCACCACTTCCACTCAGCTTATTCAAGCCCTCATCTGGATACAAACCCTGCCCTCAACGCTGGTGTAGTGGTCCACAACTGTAATCCCAGCACTGGGGAGGGGGAGGCAGATGATCAGAAGTTCAAGGCCAATTGGCCTACAAGAGACTCTGTCTTGATTCTTCTCCCCTCCTCCCCCTGAAAAAAAAAAAAAAAAAAAACCCTGCCCTCAAAGGGTTCACTGTCTACTGGGAACCAAACTACAGAGACATAATTATAGTATGATGAATAGGAGTTTTAGGAGAGGCATCCACCCACCCACCCATTCATCCACCCACCCATCATCCATCCATCCATCCATCCACCCACCCATCATCCATCCATCCATCCATCCACCCACCCATCATCCCTCCATCCATCCATTTATTTATGAAAGAAATGAACACTTAAAAGAGTATCTTGCCAGGCACAGTGCCACACTCACGCCTTTAATCCCAGCAATCAAGAGGCAGAAGCAAAAAACCAAAATAACGCCCCCCCAAAAAAACGTGATGGCCTGAGTTCAATTCCCAGGAATGGACATGATGGTCTTTTGACCTCTACATGTGAACTGTGGCATGCCAGCACCCCCGTTCACACATGATTGATAGATAGATAGATGATAGAGATATAAGAGAAATTTAATCAATAGATGATATGAGAGAAAGAGGGAGGGAAAGAAAGAAAGAAAGAAAGAAAGAAAGAAAGAAAGAGATGCTATCAAAAAAGGAAGGAAGGAAGGCCTGTGAATGTGCTTATGAACAAGGACCTATTGTTGCCCAGTTTTTCTTCTGCGGGGGACATGAATTTATCTGGGATTCACGCCTGGGACCCCCTTTTTCTGGGCTTTTTTTTTTTGTCTTTTTGAGACAGGGTCTCCCTGTAGCCCCAGCTGGCCTAGAACTCACTATGTAGACCAGGCTGGCCTTGAACTCACAGAGATCCACCTGCTCCTGCCTCCCAAGTGCTGGAATTAAAGGCACGTGTCACCACACCCTGCCCAGCAGAGTAATGTAAGAAAAATTTAAGAGTCACCTGGCTTAGAGTATCTTGTATCTATTTTCCTCCTAGTACTAAGCAGGCCTTCTGCCCCAGCTGCCTGCCAGACAGGAATACCTTCAATATCCTAGGCTAGCTGGGATCTAGTAATTCACAAAGTCGACAATGTTGCTTTTAGAGGTTCTGACATACAAGAGGGGCACAGGTGACAAGAAATAGTGAAGATGACAGGGGTTCTGAGTAGTGTAGAGAGAACAAAGATCTCAATGATGTGAGGGAATGGGCCACGTGGCCATCTGGTAGGGGGCGCGCTCCAGACAGAATGGTGAGTGAAAGAGTCCTGGGACAGGCATATCTATCTAAGGAGGAGCCAGTGTGGATGGAGTGGATGGAGTGGTGGACAGAGCAGTGAATACAGAGGCCAGAAAAAAACAGCAGAGGGGCTGGAGTGATGGCTCAGTGGTTAAGAGCACTGGCTGCTCTTGCAGAGAACCTGGGCTCGATTCCCAGTACCCACATGGAGACTAACAACTCTCCAAAAAACTCCAGTTCTGGGAGATTGGATGCCCTCTTCTGACCTCTGTGGGCATTGCATGACATAGGTGCATCTGCCTACATGTAGGCAACACACTCACACACATGAAAAAAAAATTTTTTTATAAAAAAGAAGGAACTAGCTGGGTGTGGTGGTGCACGCCTGTAGTCCCAGCACTTGGGAGGCAGAGGCAGGCAGATCTCTGTGAGTTCGAGGCCAGATTGGTCTACATAGTGAGTTCCAGGTGAGCTGGGACTACAAGGAGACCCTGTTTCAAAAAGACTAAAAAAAAAAGAAGTTGAAGATTTAGAAAACTCAATATTGCAAAAATGAGAAAGGGCTAAAGGAGAGATGATGTGGCCATCAACCATTTGCTATAGACTGCCTCTGCTGAAGCCTAACCCCTATCTAAGTGAATGTGAGCCAAGGGTATAACTAGCCATGCTGGTGAAGCCAAGCATGAGGTGGGATCATAGGTACAGACACAACGGCAGTTTGAACTAAAGGGACAGAGAAAGTAGGATGGAATGAGAGAAGGCTACTGGGCTTTTGGGTTCTACAGGATGCCCCCCCCCCACATGTTATTTGGACATGAACATGCTTCATTCTTCAATTAAAGAGAAGATTAGGGGCTGGAGAGATGGCTCAGCAGTTAAGAGCACTGGCTGCTCTTACAGAGGACTCAGGTTTGATTCCCAACATCCATATGGTAGCTAACAAGAGTCTGTAACTCCAGTTCCAGGGGATCCAATGCCCTCTTCTGACCTATGCAGGCATTACACGAGACAGGAACACTTACATACATGCAGGCAATAAATAAAATAATTTTTTTAACTTAA